CGGCCAGCGGAAAGAGGCGGGGCCCAGCGGTCCGAGCGAGCCCGGTGATCCCTGGAGTGGAGCGAAGCCGCCGTGGGAGGTTCCCGCGGTGTGGCCCGGAATGGCCGCCACGTGGGCCCCGGGGGGGGGACCGCAGCGGCCGGTGCAGAGGAGGGCTAGCCGAGAGCGGGTCGCCCAGGGCTTAGGGGAGAAAGGGGAGGGTCGGACGCCGCGGCCAGGGGAGAGCGCCCGGGAGCCGAGTGCCAAAAGCAGGGGGGCGCGGCGGGGCCTCGGAAGGCGGCGGGCAGACTGGCAGTGGACACGGCCCGGACTCTGAAAGGCGCCTAGACAGGGTGGAATACGCGTGAAGACAGGGGAAGGGACCAGCCGACCGGAGCGCGGGAAGAGCTCGGGCCTGGGGGTGGTGCCACCGTGCTCGGCGCGCGCGTCCCTGCATCCTAGATGCTCGCAGGTCTCCAGCAGTCGGTCAATTTGTATTCGACCGTCCCTGCATCTGTCAGTCTACGTCTGTGCGTCTGATCTGGCCTCTGTGTGTCGGGTTTGGACTGTCCCTATCTGCCCCCATACCTGGCCCCGGTATGAGTACCACTGGGTCTCTCCCCAGACACTGCGATGCGGCCTTTCGGAAGGATCTTAACACCGCAGCCGTGGCGCGCAGCAGAGTAGACTCCCCACAAACCCTGGCCCCGCTGTTGGCGCCAAAAATCCAGACTCAAAGCGCCAGTCGCTCCACGCGGTTCCCTCAGCCCTGGAGGCTCGCTCTAGCTGGCAGTGTGGGAGAAATGAATGGCAGCATCGCGGCGGGCGCCCTGGCTGCGGATGACGCAGGGAAGCCCGGAGTGCCTGAGCCCAGGGCGCGCGCTAGTAAGCCAGGGAGGGACAGGGTGTCCCCCGCCCTTGTTGCTGGGGCCCGGGGTAGAGTTCTCCCCCCCCCCGCCTCCCACCACCACAGATCGGAACACGCACACTTCCCTGTACCTCTTACCGCCCCCCAAACCCCGCCTCTGCCCTGCTAGCTGTCAGTAGCAGCGTCACCAGCTCTCTGGCGCGAGAGGGCTCTGTCGCAATCACTGGCCTTGGGAGGGAGGGTGTGTCTCATTCACTCACAGTGAAGGGCTGGTAAAAATAATAATGACGCTGTTGGTTCTGTCCATGCCCCAAGCAAGACGCCTTCCCTTTAGTCCCGCCAAATCGTGCAGCTAATGAGACTGCTGGGTGCTGGCTTTCCTTTCTTCAACACCGCGCTTATTCAGGTGTTAATTGCCGAGATAGCTGCTGTCAGAATGGGGCCTGTGAGGTCGGGGTGTGCGGGACTGCCTCGGTGTTACCTTTGGGTCTCAGCCTGATCAGAGGTTCCTTCTAACACTCCTGTACTCTGTCCTCGTGGCTGGGAGGGGGGCCGCCAGCTGGCCCCTGTGGTGAGAAGGTCCCTGACATCTAACTCTGGATGACTAGAGAACCCAGAATATCTCCCTCCCTTGGAAGTTGCACAGCAATGACTTTCAATCCATAATCTGCCATTTTCTGAATGACCTTGAATTGAAGGCTCAATAGTCTTTTTTTTTTTTTAAATCATTTAGGCTGGTCCTGGTGGTGCTGGCCTTTCATCCCGAATTCAGCCGGCCTGATTCCTATGACTATGAGACTAGCTGAATCTACATTGTGAGTTCTGGGTTCTGGGTTAGCCAGGGCTACACAGTGAGACCCTGTCCTAAAAAAAAAAGAAAGAGAGAGAGAGAGAGAGAGAGAGAGAGAGAGAGAGAAAGAGAAAAGAAGAGAAGAGAAGAGAAGAGAAGAGAAGAGAAGAGAAGAGAAGAGAAGAGAAGAGAAGAGAAGAGAAAAATCATTTCTACTTGCATAGCTTTAGAAAAATAAAGAAAACCACACAAGACCTTGGCTGTGTATCCTTTGTCTTCCCCCAATGAGCATGTACACCGCTCTGAGCTGGTGCACCAGTCTATACAGAGAAAGCAGCTTACCCAGGAAGGCCAGTTTTGTGGATGAAATGGTCCTGAGCTAAACTCCCTTGTTTCAGGATCCGAGAAGCCCCACACCCCAAGTGCTGAAGGAGCTCTGGGGTTCTTGCCAAGGGTGATGCTGTATGGGAACAGAAGCAAATCTCTTTTCTCTAGAATGAGAGAGATAAGGATAATGATTTAACCTGGAATTCGTTCACTCTTTTTTTTTTAGAGGAGATCTTGCTGTGTAGCCCAAGCTAGCCTGAAAGTTTGTGATATAGCTCAGGTAAGCCCCCTAGCCTTAGCCTCCAATGTTTCCAGGAGTACATGGGTGTGCATCCACACTCAGCTGGTTAGATTCTTCTGTTTTGTTTTGTTTTGTTTGAGACAAGGTCTCACTATGTAGCCTTGACTGGCCTGGAACTTGTTGTATAGACCAGGCTAGCCTTGAACCTCCCAAACCTTAAATAATAATCTTAAATAACCTATTCTTGTCTCCCTGAGCATGCTGGATCATAGTTAAGAAAAAGATCCAAGTGTAGAACTATAAAGACTTTGTAATAGTGAATATACATCAGTTCTACTTAAGTTATCAAAGTGTGAGGAAAATTCCTTATATTCTGTTTCTCTACTCAAAAGTTTGATGTTCTTCATCCCTGCTGAGATAAAATTTGGAATATTGTAATAGCACTTTGAATTTTTTTAAAATTGAAAACCCTGGGGCATAGTAGCACACTCTTGTACCCAGCACTCAGAAGGCTAAAGAAGGAAGATCTCAAGCAGCCTGGGATACATAATGAGTTCAAGGCCAGCCTGGACTATATTGAGAACCTGTCTCAGAAAAAGCAAGGGCTGGGGATGACGCTCAGTGATTGAGCAGCTTGCACAATATGTATAAGGCTGTGGATTGGTGCCCCAGCATGGAAAAACAGCAACAACAAAACCCCATTGATGATAGAATACATTTACCAAGGATCACACTGGAGCCCCGACACATCAGTGGACTCCGACAGACTAGTGTGGTGATTAATGAGTGTGAAGTTTAGATCAGAATCCTCCCTTATATTTACTATTTCATTTGAGGCAGGTTGTTAAGTTTCCCAGCATCTTGGGTTTCTCATCTATAAGACAGGGAAATTATATTAGTGGGGTATATTTTATTAGACTATAAAGATTAAATTAACGAGTCAAGTGCACAGAAACTGTAGCTGTTGTTACACAGTCACAGCAGGCTTGTTCGACGGCTCAGTAAGGTCCGTGCCGTCAAGACTGACAACCTGACTTCAGTCCCCAATGATGGAAGGAGAGACTCCCAAGGCTGTCCTTCTGACCCCTACATGTGTGCTATGGCATGTGCAAACATACATATAATGAATAAGTAAGTGTTTAAAAAAAAAGGAAGTAGCATCATCATTGGGCACATTCGCACTGAACATTTTGTTTGCATCCTTTGGACTTTTTTTGACCTGTGCTTGCATCTGTGTATTTGTTTATTTTGCTTTATAAAAATGAAACTTTAAAAACCCCTTCCTCTCTTAATGTTACACGGCAGTTTCTCCTGTTGATCACTCCTCTTCTGTTACTTGCACGTGTTGCATAGTGTTCCAGTGTGTGGATGTTTGGGTTATTCCACAAGCCCTCTATATCTATACATGATTTCCTCCCCATTTGGGGGGTTATTGTAAATACTGCTGTGATGAACACATGTTGTAGAAAAACCCCCAACATTTTATAGCTCTCCCAGTACAGAAATAGAGCCTATTTCTCCATCCCTAAGTCTGACTTGGACCACAGGACTCGCTTGCCTGTGGGGACACTACCAAATGTGATGAAGCAAAGGTCTGAGAGGTGGCTGTGTACTGGAGCAGGACCCTGTTGTTGGTGATGATGATGATGATGATGATGATAAGATCTCTAATGATGAATAACATTAGCTCAGTCTTTCTGTTGTCGTTATTCTGACATAGCATGGTTATTGGAAGAAGAGTTAACTACATAGGATTTGGTCATCCCAACCAAAGCCCATAAAACAAACAAGGCCATCTAAGTACTGTAGACTATCCAGCCCCTGAAAAGCCATCCAACCAAACCACTGAACATGAAAAGTAATAGCTCTTACTTTATTTATTTTGTTTTTTCGAGACAGAGTTTCTCTGTGTAGCCCTGGCTGTCCTGGGCTATAGACCAAGCCTGCCTCTGCCTCCCAGGTGCTGGGATCAAAGGTGTGCGCCACCACTGCCCCGTTTAGTTCTTACTTTAACCCATTAAATTTGGTGTGGTTTGTTATAGAACAAAAGCCATTTAATAAAGACATCTTTTGGATAACATTTCCTAACATAATTTTCTAGAAGTAGGCTTTCTGTATCAGAGTGTGCATACATTTGCATCTCTCATAGTACAAAGAATATCTGGATTTATAAGCTAACTGTAGTGTATGGAGGTGACCATATTCCCCATCTTTGTCAATATTGACCATTAGTGTTTCTTGTCTTCATGACTACACTGTCCTTGAAAATTTGGGAGAACAGTGTCTGCCCATTCTCCCTTCATTCAAATCGTTAGAGGGAAGGAAGACGGAGGGGTGGTAGGGAAGCCAAGCTTGGTGGTATATTTCTACTGAACTAGATACCCTGGACACTGAGACAGAAGGATAGAAAGTTTGAGGACGGTCTAGACCGCATCCTAAGACCCTGTTACAAACAAATAAACGAGTGACACATAGTGCAGGAGGAACAGAGAAAGGAAGACACCATAGAACGGGGAAATGACAATAGAATTATCAAACAGAGACTCTTCAAATTTCTAATAAGA